GGCAGTGGTTTTGCCTCGACGACACGACCGTGACGCAGTTGCCGGCGCTCGAGATGACGGCGCGCCTCATGCAGTCGGCCTACCTCCTCTTTTACGAGCGGCACGATGTCGCCAGTGTCAGCGTCGCCGAGTGGTTTCCTCGGCGGGCGCAGGCGACGATCACGGTCAACCTCGCGGCGATCAAGGGCCAGCTCACGTCTTTCAAGGCCCCGTCCGTGCCCAAGCCATCGCCGCCGAAAGCCAAGGCGGGCTGGACCAACGGGTGGTTTGCCAAGCCGTAGACCAGTAGTAATTGTACGATTGCATTGGATAGTGTGTAAACGATGAGGCTCGTACTTGGTGTCTTCTGCGGTCACGGTCGTCGTGATGGTGTCGCTGCAGTGGGCTGTGACGAGACTCACAACTGGCCGATGGTTCGACACCGCGCTCGACACGTCATGGCGGTTGGCGGCGCGCACTGGCGGATGTGGCGTTGAAAACGGACGGCCCAGCGTGGGATGATGCGGTCTGTCCCAGGGGCACGCCATGCTTGTGCTGTGAGTACGTTGGCGAGAAGGGTCGCGACCCTTACGGTATGTGCAACGGGGCGCGCGGCCCACGGATCCAAATAACTACAGTAGCTATCCAAATCTCATGTCCAAGTCTGGTGTCGTGTCTTCTGATTGTGGTGGTGGTCTGGTCTTTGTTCTGGTACGATTTTTTGTGCATCGGATACCCTTTTGCGTACCAAGTGGCGGCCAATGGAAATCCCACGTCGTCCAAAAGGCACGCATGTCTGGCTGAATGTTCGTACGGGCGAGCAACAATATATATGGTTAGTCTCATTTTAACATCAACAAATCTGCTATTTCGAGGTGCGTTCACCCAAGCTTGCCCGTTTCGCTTGCAATGGGAAGAGTTCGAGAAAGGAAATTCCTTGGAGTTATGTGCTGTGTACCGTCAGGCCCGCTACTACTGCAGTGTAGGATGTCAACGTGTAGCAGCAGCTTGCACGACTTGAACGTGGTCGACCAATCTGGTAGGGGCCCGCTGAACGCACGCAGCCGCTACAAAGGGAGGCGCGTCGGCGGATGTTCTCTACTCGGAAGTGCAAGAAGATGAAAAGGAAGAAGAAGGTGGAGAATTCGAGTGCTGGCCGAAGAGCACCTGCTGATAATCTGTTCGCACACCTGGGTGCACTTCAACTTGCTGCTCCGACTGCCACGTCATAGCCGTAAAAAGCGAGGTGTTTCTCCTCGTAACGCCCACGAGAGACACGGATGGAGCAGTACCAGCACAACGGTCGCAAGCTCATCCAGGTACGTCGACCGCGACGCGTCTGGGTCCTGCAGCATCCTGCGGTAGCTGATCTTCAAGTCGACCGAGACGGGCCGGAAAGCGACCAAGGAGGGGCCTCGCCTTCCGCCCACGTCGCTGCCGTCCAAGCCGCCTCCACCAACCCACCGCGACATTCTAGTGCGAGCGAGCCCATCGATCGCGGATGTTCGGTTCGAAGATGGGCCGCAGCTCGCGCATCTCAAGGCCGCCGCGCTCAAGAAGCAAAAGCGACATCCAGCACGGCTACCACCCTTGCGGGACGAGCAGCCGTCTGCGCCATCAAATAACACCACCACCACCACTAACAACAACAACAACAATAATCAGCAGTCGACGTCGGAGCTACATGGTCCCGAGACGAGCTCGCTCGACTCGCCCGTACTTCTTGGCGACGACCCGACGTCCATCACCATCACCATCGACGAGGTTCTCGCCGTGTTACCGTCGTCTGTGTGGACTGATGAGTGGTTCGTGTTAGATGGACAAGGTGCTTGGGGACTTGCAGAGCTGGCGCACGGAACACGCTCAAAAAGTGTCGTCGCAGCTCCTCGCAGTCGTCGAGGTAATACCTACCCTTTCTACGTCAATGGAAGAAAACGACGGTCCCAGGAGGCGTCCCCGGTGACCAACGACACGGACGGCGAGAATGACGCCACGGACGCTGAGCTACACGACCTCTACTTGGTGCGTTGCCATGGCCACCAAGTGGTGTGTTGAATGCAGTGCGTAGAAAGCCAAGGCGCGGTGGGCGACTGTCGACAAGTGGCAGCTCCAGGCGTCGGTGCCAGCCCCAGGATTGCCACCGGCGGACGAAGCCAAAGTGCAGTCGCTCTTGCATAACTCAAGCAACGTCTCCAAGCTCCAGAAACTTCGTGACGAGGTGTTTCAGCTGCACGTTCGCGATCTTTCGCGGCAGTGGCGCGAGTCGCTCAACAACGATCCCGAAGAAGCGGCCTTTGAAGGTAGCGCCCCCTTTTCTGTCACCAAAGTGCAAACTCAAACGATATGCGCTAGCCAACTTGCTCGAGCTCGAGTGTGGCGTGCAGGTACATAGATAGCCGCATGGAAGACCCTGGAAACGCACTGCAATCTAGACGTACGCCGACGACCTTGATGCGTTACTCGCTCGCTTGGACGCAATCCAGACGTCGGTCGACGCCCACGAAGACGACGCTGCGATCATGTCGTAGCGATGGACCTACATGTAGTACACGGCCTTTCTTTCGCGTGCTTTGCCGTCTCGTCCGTGTCCTTTCTGACTCAGATGGCGTCCATTGTCCATCTGAGTACGTGTTGTTAACGACGAAGCAACGCATGTGTCCAAAGAGCTGCACAAAGCGTCAACCACAATCAGCATGCCGTGTCTGTCTCGTCGATGCACTTCATTTTGCACCAACGAGTTATCAGACCGATCAATGGCTCCTCTCGGTCGACTCAGACCCAAAGCATAGGACGTAATGCCCTTCTAGCAGCACTTCGGCTTCCAAACCGGGTACAATCTCTCCTAGTACTAATATCGTCTGATTGCAAAGTGCAGATAGAGGCCTATCAAATGGCGAGCGTCTGAGAATCCTAAACCAGGCTAGTCGAAGCGTCCAACAATGGCAGGACACCATAGGGCTTGTACGAGCGATCTAGAACGATCCTCGCAACAAGCTCGCAACGTTGCCCTCGCTACTACGTTGTATGGACCTTTGGTCGGAGTACCGATATGCGGTTCTAATTCAGGCGCCCAAAATCATCCACTCTCGTAAATCAGCGTGGAACCACCTGTCGACGGCTTCAACAACTCGAGTGTGAGTGCGCGCAACTCAGACGTGTCGCCCTTTCTATTCTGGGTGAGTTTGATCTTGCGGTTTGTATGCTGGCGCCACCCGAGTTCGCCCGACCATCTGAGCCTTCACAATGCATATTATGTACTAGACATAACTATGCTACGCTGCTTTGCAGACGTGATAGCTTGATATACAAACAAGTGATGTCTCAAAAGAGGCATTCCACGCGCTCACATGCCTTCAACCATCGGTATACAACGATCAAGTGGAGTCAGCGCCATTGCAAGATCGGGCAGCGGTGCGACATTGCACATTGGCACCCGGAGGAGTGGGAGAGGGTCGGTCGATTGCATCGCGCTCTGTATGGGCCTTTCCGAGACAGCATCCCGCTCTACGGTACACGTGCCAGCTGGCATTCACTCGGCTCAATGGCTCGACTTCAGTTTCTAAATCGCCAAGTCGAGCCGGATGGGTGTGGTAGTTGACGTCGCGCCGCTGAGCAGCCTTCCGCTCGAACTGACAAAGGCCGCGCCGTGGCAGCCGGACGACGCCTCGGACGCCTGCATTCGGTGTCAACACGCCTTTACGACGTGGTTCCGCCGACGCCACCACTGCCGTGCGTGCGGCCACCTCGTGTGCGCCGACTGCAGCCCGCACTTTACGCCGCTACCAGCCCTCGGGTACCTCCAGCCCGTGCGCGTTTGTGTCGAGTGCAACCCGACGGCGCTGCGCCACATGAGCAGCATGGACTCGTCGGCGTCGACGTCGAGCCCCGTCTCGGACGCCGACATCGACTTTGAGGACGACGAGATGGAGGCCGCGTACCAAGAGATTGCCGCGCATTCGCTCTCCAAGCAGTCGCGGCTCTCATACGAGTACTTCGTCAAGTCGGAGGCCGTCAACTGGCTCGTCGACAACGGCGTCGTCAAGTCGCGCCTCATGGGTGTCCAGCTCTTTCACCGGCTCGTGCTTGAAGGCCTCGTATCCGAAAAGGCCATCGGCGACGGCCCGTCGTCCTGTGCGTTCTATGTCATCAACGACGATAACCACCGGCTCGCGTCCGAGCGCCGGTCGTCGTTCTACGAGACGCCGCTGTACGCCGAGACGGACAAGTGCCTCAACTGCACGCGCGGGTACCTCGCGAGCTTGGCGCCGGTCCGCGGTTTTTGCTCGATCGATTGCAAGACCAACTCGGAGTTCAGTCACTCGGATCGTCTTCGCGCCAACAAGCTCTGCACCTAGAACCCTTTTTGTTATTACTATCGTGACGTATTAACTTATACACCATTTTCATCCATTTGCATCTCCCCCTGTCGTCGTCGTCGTCTCGGTCGGTCCTCTAGAAATTCAAGCGAAAATTGGCTTCGTAGTGTGTAGTCGGTGGCAGCACAAGCCTCATCCATGCGCCATGAAGGCCGCTCGCACGCGAACGCGATAGCGCGCAAGTTGGCGCAACGGTGTGCGGGTACAGAGAAGAGCGCCACGCGAGTAGCCACATTTGTCCCACATGCCAAGATCCTTGAGGCGATCTGAGAAAGCAACGACCACTGTACTTTAAGAGGGAGGACGCGCAACCGTGTGAACGCACGCTGGCACGGGTCGAGCGATTTTCATTTTAATGCTATGGATGGTTGCTGCGTGCCTCTTGTCGATACGGTCGACGCACGCGTCAAGGGGCAGTGTGGCCCCGCAGGCGGCGCTTGATCGCAGCTTTTGTACCCGCGATGCGCTCCAGTTCGGCAGTTCGCGCCGTCTTGTCGGCGTAGTCGATGCGAACTTGGACTTCGAGAGCTCGGAGCCCCTCGAGCTCTTGCTGCCAGTGGTCGACATCCACCGACGACGATGTCGCGTTCAAGGCGGGCGGCGATGTCAAGGCGGTGCCAGGCGCGGCGAGCGCCAAGTGCATGGGTGCGTTCAACGACGACGACGACGACGACGGTGGTGGCACGTTGCCCGCGCCCCTTGGTGCCTCGTGCGCCAATGGTGCGAGTGGCTGGTCGTCGCCAATGGGGCTTTTGATGACGAGGTTTTTGGCGGTTGGGCAAGGGCCGACGTCTCGATCACGACGATGCAGGCTGCGACCAGGCCGGCGGCGACGGCAGCGAGCGATGCGGTCGTCGTCTGCGACGGGCCGGTGCGTGGCGTCGTCGCCAGCGCCCGGCGGCCGCCGATCGTCGTCGCGATCTGTCGTGCGCGATGCATCCGAGCGTCGGTTCCACTGAGATATCCCACCGTACGCCACCGTTTTTGGACGACGACGGTTGCGCCGACGTCGCAGTGGCCGTGAGTACAGTAGCACTGGGAACGCGAAGGGGGCATCCATCGGTGCGCATTGTGCATACGACCGACAAGGTGATTGCTACAGAAAGAAGACGCTCAAAGAGAGCTGTGTTGGAGAGCTGTGTTGGTGATGTGCATCTCGACAGACAGTACACGCCGCCACCCACGCTGCGCAACTGCGCTCAACAGTGCTCAACTGCGGGCCCAACCTGGTGGGCGGCGAGCTCGCTGGAGACGGCAGGCGCAGTTGCTGTACGGCGGCGGCTCTTGGCAGTATGAGGCAACTGCTTTGGCGATGGTGGCGCTGGGTACACTGTACGGGCAAATCATGGCTGGACCTGTGTTGCGTCACCGGATCCAGTGGTCAGATCCGGCAAGTGGCACGGCGGTCAATGAATCATCCCGGCTACTCGAGGCTCTCGGAACGTACCTGTAGGAGGATCGACGATCACCTTGTTCTGGTCGAATCCAACCACAATCCAATCGCCACCACCACTCAATACACTACCCGGTACCTAGCTGCACCAGAGACGAAGCTGACGCCAGTAGCCAGCATTTACAGCGCAAGCTACTGCGCTGCGTCGTAGCTGGCATCTTCCTCCCACGCAAAACACACACACTGCATACCTCTAACACCGTTCTCTCTTAACGCGTCCTCAATCACGACGAAACTAGGCAGATCGGAGCCGCTTCTTGATCTCGCCCTTGAGCATGGCAATCTCTTGGAGCTCGGCTGCGATTGCACGCAAGTTGCGGGCATTCTCTGCTCGCAGCGTCGCTTCGTATGCGCGGAGGTTGTCCAGCTCCTCTTGCCACTGGACGCCGGCGACCGTGGGCGCCACGACGACTGTGGGGGCGGCTCGCTGCAACGACGGAATGACGCCCATGGGCATTCCCATTGGCGTTGGCCCCGACGACGAGAGCACCGACGTTGTCGATGCCGGCAACGGCTTGGCCACCGGTGCAACAACATCGACCACCGGTGCGTTGACAGGCGGTGCCGGTGCAATCGGTGCAGGGACGTCGACCGGTGCCGCCTCGTCGGCCACTGCCTCGGCACCTTCCTCTGCCGCAATCATGTCGTGCTCCGTGGCCGCGGGCTTGCCAAATGCAGCATCGCGGAGCGTCGACTTGACCAAGTCGTAGTAGTGAAACTCTACAGCATCAATCAATCTTATGGTCATAAAGTCGGTCGTACCGTCGCGGCCCGTCATCTGCGTCACGGCGCCGTTCAAGATGAAGAGGCCAAAGATGGACCAGTAGACCTTCATCGTGAACGAGACGCGCTGCCCGCGCCGGTCGGCCCAGTCGGAGCCAAAGAGACGCGTCGTCGCCGTGTCGCCCATGGTATCGTTCGTGATGGGCTTGGGCGCCGTCGGCGTCGTTGCAGTCGTCGTCGTTGTCGTCGGCTTGCTGCTCAGACACCGGCGTGACGCCCGGCGCACGACGCGGTTGACCAGCATCATCCTGCGTAGGCGGAAAGTGCATGGCGACCACCGCCACATCCGGTCCGATTCCGGATAAACACTTGAAATAGTGTGACATTGAAATACTGTTACACCGGCGTTTCAACTAACTAACTAATACTTAGCTCCTGCGAACATCGACCGTCGATTGCATGCAAGCGGTAGAGTGAATACTACCAGACCCTAAATCGAGGACGATATTGACAAGTGTGCAATGCAATATAGTATATATTAGAACGTAAAGGTGCATTAGCTCTCGACAGCGGCCACAGGCAAAGCGGTCGCGTCAACCACCACGTCGTCAAGATGCACGTCGGCGCGGTTGGCGCGGGCGCCACACATGGTGCACTACGAGCCATTCTTTCCGTCAGTACAAGTCGTAGAAGAAGGGACGAGAACATACGTGCTTTCGCTTGGCGACGTTGAGAAAGGTGCAGGCCGTGCATGCCCAGTTGGGTCCGTCACCACCATCGTCGTCGTCGTCGTCCGAGGCTTCGCCGGCCAAGGACGCCTGCAGCACCCGCTGGATCTACTCCCACCTCACTGTCAGGGCAACGTTATAGTGGCATCGAGTGTACCATGGCGTCTTGGTGCCACGGCACGCCGCTGCCCGTGAACGGATCATGCAGCGTCTGCGCCTCGTCGATGCACATGACGCTCTGGAGGAAGATGCTGATCGAGTCGAGGAGGTACTGTGGCCGCGAGCTGTTGTGGTCGCCGTGGACTTTGATGAGGTTCTTGTCCCCGGCGTACTAGACGAGGCGAGGTGTTGCGTGCAGCTAGCGTCGCTGACAGGCGTACCTTTTCAAAGAGCTGTTCGCTGTGGTGTGGCTGGATAAACACATCTTTGTGGGCCGCTAGGACAAATTCGCGAACGTGAATTTCGTCCTGGACGATGTGGTCGAGGACGTACCGACAAAGAGCGCCGGAATGAACGACTTGTCCACGTGGTCGATCGGCGAGAGGTCGCGGAGCTCGAAGCGCGCGCGCTTGTACACGGACGACCGGATGAACTTTAGCGCGACCTTGACCACCATGTTGGGGATCGTGTAGCCTTCGCGCCGGCCGTGCTCGACAATCTCCATGACCTAGGCGCGTCATCGTGAGATTCCCGCAGCATCGTTGCGAAATAAGGTACGAGCTGCTCGAGGTTCGCAAAGGCACTGTCGATGATGACGCCGGCAATCGACGGGTCCCGGTCCGCATGCAGCAGCGCGGTGACGGCGCCCATGCTCCGGCCCCAGAGCGCGATCGACGAGACGTGGCCCGTCCCGCGCAGATGCTCGACGAGCGTCTGTACGTCATCTACGCGTCGTCGATTGCAGACCATGATGATGATACCAAGCCGTTCGTACCGCGCTCATAGTAGCCGAGTGAAATGTACTCGCCGTCTGACTGGCCACAGCCAATGCAGTCGAGCGTCACAAGCGTTGCACCGCTTGCGAGCACGCAGCGCAGAACTGAGAGCGCCTCGAGCCTGCACGACGAGTTGCCGTGGAGGTAGATGACGCAAGGCAGTGCCGCAAGCGTCGGCGCGACTGGCGCCCAGTGCGAACACTGCATCTGCATACTCTGTCCTTGGCGCGACACGGAAATGCTAAAGTCGGTGCGGCGGAAGCGCGTGCCAGAGAGCGGAAACTCGACGGGCCCGAGCTCGTCGACGTCGTACTGCGCACGCGGCGGCCGGATGATGAGATTCACCAAGCTCTCGTAGCCGTGGCGCAGCAGCGACCAGTACCCGAGCTGGTCGGTCGCGTCCTCGACCGCCTCTTGGCCACGCTGGATGCCACCTTGCGTCGTCGGAAGGTCGGTCAGCGAACGGCGCTGCGACGCCGGGCGGTCGCGCGCTGGCGGCTCGGTCGTCGGGACAGGCGAAAGCTGCGGCGTCGACTCGGCGCGCCTCCGCGCGGACGACGCTCGGCGCCGGGCGTTGCTGCTGCTGTTGCCCATGCTCGTCGGCCTGAAGCTCTTGCGTCGATGTTTCGACGACGCGCTGATTGGGGCAGCAAACTGCGTTCTCGTCTCTGATTCGCTAGAAGGTTTGGAACGACCTGCGATTGGCTGAAATCGGACCGACTGCCGGAGGGGGAGCCGACGTTCGACGCATGGTGTCGAAGCGACTTCCACCTGCCCACCTTGCCAACTAGCCCTCGCTCTCAACTGTCTATAATGTACATTGGCCGTATGACATCTCATTCGACAACACAAATGCGGTACAGGTGGTGAAAGCTCGGTGAAGATCGTTAGTTAGTACATACGATACACTAACTACACACAAAATGTGCGCATCAGCTTTCCACTGGGCTTTTCATGTCGGCGACCCGCACGGCATCGTCCACTCCAGCGTCTAATAGCATTGCCCGACGACCTTGAACGAGTACTAGTAGGTGTCTCCAACTAGCGGCTGCGTGGCTCTAGTCGAAATTTGATAACCTGCAACACGTAGACATCGACTAGAAGATGTCAAAGGTGACATGCCAGTCAGCTCGATGGCTGTCGAGTCGTCTAGGTCTACTACACGCGACATCAGATACCATGTATATCAGGTAGTACGCACAGCGGTGACTGGCGCGGTGGCAGTATCGAGAGCGAGCTTGGAATCTGTTGTCGTTCGTAGTCGACTAACTTTTAGACTATAGAAGTCATCGCAAGTATTTTAAGCCGAGGCGGTTGCAGCTCTCGCGTGGAGCCCGCCAGAAATAGGTCGGCAAACTATCCGACCGACGTCGTCGGCGATGCGCAAGTACCGGCTCGTGTCCAAGAAGGGCGAAGGCACGTTCTCCGAGGTGCTCAAGGCGCAGAACGTCAAGGACTCCAAGTACCATGCGATCAAGTGCATGAAGAACCACTTCGAGTCGATTGACCAAGTGAACAATCTCCGAGAGATCCAGGCGCTACGGCGTCTCTCGCCGCACCCGCACATTATCAAGCTCGAAGAAGTCTTGTATGACCAGCCGTCTGGTAGGCCAACCAGATCTGATTGGCATTCTCACCGCCTCCTTGTCATGGTCGATTAGGACGCCTCGCGCTCGTGTTTGAGCTCATGGACGCCAACCTCTACGAAATGATCCGGGGTCGACGAACGTACCTCAATCCGGAGCTCATTCGGTCGCTCATGTACCAGCTCGTCAAGTCGCTGGACCACATGCACAACAAGGGCATCTTCCATCGCGACATCAAGCCCGAAAACATCCTTGTCGAGAACAACGAGTTTCTCAAGCTCGCCGACTTTGGCAGCTGCCGCGGCATTTACTCTAAGCAGCCGTACACCGAGTACATTTCGACGCGCTGGTACCGTGCGCCCGAGTGCCTCCTCACGGACGGCTACTACGGCCCCGAAATGGACCTCTGGGGCGTCGGGTGTGTATTTTTTGAAATCACGAGTTTGTACCCGCTCTTCCCGGGCTCCGACGAACTCGACCAAATCAACCGCATCCACAAGATCCTCGGTACGCCGCTGCCAGACGTGCTCGACGTCTTTCGACGCAAGGGTGCGGCCCACATTGACTTTAACTTTGCCCACGACGACGGCACGAGCATCGGTACATTTTTGGATTTTTGGATTTTTGTATTTTCGCATTTTTGCATGTTTCATTTTTGTTTCAATCGATCAACTGACGTGGCAACGTTGTAGCCAAGCTCATTCCACACGCGTCGCCGGAAGCGGTCGATCTCATGTGCAAGATGCTGGTGTACGACCCGAGCAAGCGCACGAACGCGCGCGAAGCACTTCGGCACGAGTATTTTCGGGAAATGCGCGAAATTGAAGAAGCCGCGCTCGCGGCGGCCCAAGACCAGCTCCCGTACGTCTACATATTCTCCGTATACGGACAATACTGTCCATCGACCTGAAAACATACGATCGTAGGAAGCAACCGAGTGTCCCGGCGGCCAATCCGCCGCCCGCCAAACACCGCGCCAAAGGCGTCAAGGTAGTCCAACGATATTCTTCAGGACGCCAGCAAGAATGCAATTAGGACGACGTCGAGAAGGTGCGGCCACTGCCGATGCTGGCAAAACCGCACGAAGATCATGAATACTCGATGGATGGGGGCGCGTCAGAGAAGGAGTCGACGGCGTACGAGGTGCCGTAGGCGTCAACCTTGCGCAGGAGGACGCAATGTGATGTAGATCAATGAACTGCCGCCTATCAATGCCTCGATGCTGCTTCCAAACGCTGGTAAAGGTGCCAAGGGCGTCGTCTTGCCGGACGCGAGCAAGAAGAAGAATATTTACCGATCGACCAACGTGGCCGAGACGACCAAGGCCCGAAAACCCGCGCCCCAGGCAGCGGTCAACAACCTGGCCAACGCCGGCGGCAGCATCGCTTCGTACAAAGTGTCGTCGATGAAGGCAGCCAACAACCCGAGCTCCAAGGCAAATAAGAATCCGACAAAATCCATAGGAGGTACGACGATTACGCTGTCGAGAAACGTTTTGGTAGGGACAAAGGCTGAATAATTGCGTAGCCGCGCCGAGTGGAGCGGCCAAGTCGCGACGTAAATAAGACACTCGTTCCTAGTGGGTAGGTTCTCGTAGAATAGGTCCGGTCATAACCGCTCGAATACACACTCTCTCAAACCGCGTTGCGATGGACGCTGTGGCAGCTATCTTTTCGGGCGTCTTGACTGCCAGTATCGAGCTCTTGCTGCTTCAAAACGAGCCGCTCGACACGACATGCCCATATCTGTGGCAGCATGTCAGGCAGTATCCCTTCGACCATTAAACTGTACTGCTAGAACTGTCAACTTGGAGGCTTTGCAAGCAATGCCAACTTTATATATATTAATACGAGTTTCGCGTTATCTTTGTTGTACAGTGTACTAGCAATGACTTCGCATACATGGAGACTAGCTATCTCCTTCGTCTTGATTCGCTCGACGGGCCGTGGCATCGGGCTCTTCTGTAGTTGCGAAGGCCCGTGACGGCAATATGACAGAATATATTGCGTCCCTCCGATGCCACTTGGCACCGTCCTCGCGGTATCTCGAAATGTGGCACTGAGTGACCCGCGACCCCAGTTGACTCGACAGTGCACTTCTTTAAAGATCTGGTCTCTGATTGGTGGATATCATGTCAATCAACGCGTTGATTGGTCCATCAATCGAGCTCAATCATGATTCAAAATCAATATGACGCGTTGCCCTGTAGCTCGCGGCAGAGAGCTCTCATGTCGACATGGTCGAGTATTGTCTTGTCTCTATTAGCGCCTCTGATTGGCTGGAATGCCGTTTAAATGTTTGGCATATGTGTCTCTCGTGACGATGGTGTCATCATGGGGACGACGCCATTAGCAGGACGCCCAAAAGCCCGGCGCGTGAGAAGGATCGACTACACTTCGCGCCAACAATACCATCTAGCAGTATTATGCCCTTGTTGGGAGCCTGGCGCAAATCGTGATGACTCTTCAGTGATTTCCTCACGATTCGTGGTCGATTGATGTGTGAGGCGGAATATCCAAAGCATAAGATACGCATCGCATCTATTACATTGGTCTCGTGCCTTTTCTGGATCACTCCGTCGCGGTATCGTTGACGAACGCTTGCAAAAAGTTGGCGACATCGGACGCCGTCGGGCGCAAACTCGGGTCCATGTGCAAGCAGCGGTCGACCAGTGTGCGGTACCAGTCTTCGCAGTCGTCGCCTAGCGTTGGACGCAGACCGCCGTCGACAACAGCCGTCGTTATAGCGACTCGATCGTCCAAACCGTAGCCTTCAAATGGCAGCGAAAACGTGTCGAGCTCAGTCATGAGGACGCCAAAGGCGTACATGTCGGACGCAAACGACGGTGGCGAGTCGCCTGCAAGCACCTCGGGGGCCACCCACGCCAGACGCGCTTGATCGAGGCCAACGATGCCGGGGACGTCGACTTGAACGAACTCGGTGGAGCTCCAAATCACGTCGTAGCTCGAGAGGTGGCCATGGACGATGCCGTGCGTGTGGAGGTCCACGAGGGCGTTGGCCACGGTGTAGAGAATCATGACCTTCAGTGTAGGATCGGCTGGCCACGTCGCACGCACGGACGTATCCTCGAGCACACATCGGAGACTTTTGCTCACCAAAAACTCGACAAGCATGCTCTTGGGCGCTGCAGTGGCCACGACCGTCACGAGAAACGGGGACGTGCATCTACGCACACAAGGCCCTGTGGTCTCCAGTGTCGACGGAAGGTAGCATGTACCTCGCAATGGCTTCGAGATCGTCGTCGTCGCCCACGTGACGGTGCGTGACGACCCGGCCGTGCAACTCGAACGGAACGCCAGGCTCGGGCAAATCGGTGCCGGGCACCTTGTACAAATGTTGTCCATCGGTTGCATCCTTGTTGCACTACCTCAAACACGGGTTGGGCCGACGCTGCGTACTTTGCGCGGGCGAGGGCGGCGTTGCCGATGCAGCCGCCAGCTACCCACGGTAAAAACTCGCCCTAGTAACAATACCACCATCGTCACAGTGTGCTTGTGCTCGCAACGCATCCACGGACCAGTGTCTGAGACGATCTTGTTCGGCGCGCGTCGTTGTTGTCGCGGCCCGTCCAGAGCTGTTGGGGTAGATACAACCGCAGCGGCTCCTGCGACGGCGCGGCAGAGGTTGTCGAGTGGGTCAGCCAGCGCTGAATGGCGTGCGGGATCGCACGTCCCTTGGTGGTAGCCTAGTGCAACGCGCCTCACATGTTTTTTGTTGCTACCCATACACATGTCGTACGGAACGCGTTTTGAGCGCGACCGTCAAGCGCGAGCTCATCGTTTTGACTTCGTTCGTGCTCGGTTGCGGGCACGAGCATTCGGGGCAGACGGTGTCGACGAGCACCATGGTTTCCTTGCGACAGGTGGTGCACGTCCGCGCCCAGTTGACCACGTGGCCGCGATGGTGCAGCCGCATCAAGCATCGCAGCACAGCCACCACGCGGTCGTGTGTCGAGGCCTGATACCCACACGAACAGTCGGCCTCGACCGGGTGCCAGCTACTGCAGGAGACGCAAAAAAGCTCTGGCGCGTTTGCATCCTACAACCCCCTTGGCATGCCGCGCTTCCCATGGCTCGCAAGTTACCCGATGCGCCGCGAGCAAGAGCAGGGGCACAAAGCGGTGCACTTCGTCTTTCTCATCGGCCTGTTGCGCCGTCTCGAGTGGCGAGTATCCGCCCTAAAGATCGAATTGCCTCTATCAGCGAATAGCGATTACACACATGGACACCGTCGTAGAAATGCTGACATCGGCCCCCGTCGCGAGAAGCTGCTTGATGCACGATTCGCTCGCCGCCTTCACTGCGCACGCCAATGGCGTCTTGCCCTCCTACGCCCTCGTGGTGTGCGCCGCTTTCGTATTGAGATGCGTACGTGGTCTTGTGTGTCAGCGTCGGCCCCCGCATCGAGGAAGAGGCGAAGAATGTCCACGTTGCCTCGTGTCGCAGCTTCGTGCAGCGGTGCTTGACCACCCTACCGCACACGGTGACGGTGGCCCATCATGAACGTCATGTACGATCAAGGCGTTGACGTCTGCACCGCGATCCAGGAGGAGCCGCACAGTCGCAATCGCACCCGCGTTGGTCGCCGCCACCAAGAGCGACATGTCGCCCTACACGATGCGTTTTGGTGGACGTCGGTCGTCGGGCTGGATACCGGAAGCGCAGCGCCATGCGAGAGGCCGTCGCGGAGGAGCTGCACCACCACGTCGACGTTATCACTTGCCACCGCACGCAGGAACATTGTTGACGCCTACTCCAAACGCAGTTAGCAGCCACCGATACGACAAGCTGCGTACATCCATGCCCGCTGTCGGGGCAGCCGCCACCTCGTTTTGAAGTATCGCTACGATCTGATCGACTGTCGGGCGCTTCGCGGGGTCACCACGCAGACACATGTCTGCCAGCGTGCGCAGCCACGGCTCGCACTGACACTCGGTGGGTAGCGTCGGGCGAAGCGAGCCGTCGATGACACCGCGGGTAAACGCAATCGGGTCTTGAACGTCTTGGTCAAAGTACGGCAGCTGGCCCGTGGCGAGCTCCGTGAGGAGGACGCCAAACGCGTAAATGTCGGCGGCAAGACCATAGGAGGTGCCATTGGCTCGAAGGATCTCAGGCGCCATCCAAAGCCGCGTACCGGGCGCTTCCGTCATCTCGGTGGCCACGATACGCGCCAGTCCAAGGTCGCCGAGCTTGATCTCGTCGCTGGAGCTCAAGAGAACGTTGTCGCTCTTGATGTCGCGGTGCGCCATGTTTCTCCAATGAAGATCCTTCAAAGCGTTGGCGACGACCCACGCCACGTGAAGGTTGGTCACGCGCGCCGACGTGCGTTCGTGCAACCGCTTCTTGTCCAGGAACGAACGAAGGCTGCCGCCGTCCATGTGCTCAAACAGAAGCGTTGGCGCCGCCGAGTCGCGGTTCGCGACCGCGACAAGCCGCACGAGGTACGGCGATGGGCACCTTGAACCACACGTGAGAAAAATCGCTTTGTATGCTTCATGCAGCCGTACGCCAGGAGCGCGTCGACTTCGGCTTTGATCGACGAAATGTGGTTGGCGCTTCGAACCTTCTTGACCGCAACCTTTTGGCCCTCGTACGAACCGAGGTAGACGACCCCAAACCCGCCCTGGCCAAGCTCCGTCGTCGTCACGTCATAGTCCTTGTCGGAAATCTAAAAAACCCATCACCGTGTGCATATTGCTACGGGAGCGAGAGAGAGATGGCGCCTACTGCATACACCCCCGCGTGCACGGTATGAAAGAGCTTTTTGGCCATCGAGGCATAGCCGCGCTCAACGGCAATCGCCAGTGGCGTTTTGTTCTCCTACAAATCCAGCTTGGGTAGCTTGCTGGAAGCAGCGTCGTTGTACGTGGTTGGGTGTCGCGAGGCGCACGCGTGGCTTGGCGAGAAGCAGGTCGAGTATTGCTTCGTTGTTTGCAAGGACGGCCATATGCACCAGTGAGCACCCGACCTGGTACATAATAAGTGCGTCGTCGTTTCGCTGCTCGCGGGTGTATGTACCTCATCGTAGACGTTGCAGCTGTACGGCTCTTGGAGAAGCGCCGCAAAGCCCGGCGCATCATGACGGTCTATCGCCAGCATCAACTCCCACCGCTAGTCGACCATCCATCATCAAAGGTGATCGCTTCCAAAAGAGACGTGTACATGGTTCTCGACGGGTTGGAACGCCTCGAGCACGGCATTCTTCTGCAGCTTTGTCGCCAAGTCGACTGCACGAGCAAGCATCTACATCCGAGAGCCTCTCGCCCACGCGACACGAGGCAGCAGTGTAAACTGTACCGTCGTGTCTCTTTCGTCAAAGTCAAAACCGGCCTGCAGCAGGGTTCGGACAACGTCCCCGTTGCCAGAATTCACCGCGAGGTGCATCAATGTCAAGCCACTCTACGACCATTGGCGCATTGCGACATGTATCGTGAAGACAAGCGTCTACCTCATGGCGCTCGTTGCGATCAATGTGGGGCGACGTGAGGAGCAGCGCGGCAACGTCCGCGTGCCCGCCGACAACCGCTGTCGCGAGCGGCGAAAATCCATTCTACACAGCGTCATGCTGCTTCCTTCTTTGACTTTCATCGTACGTGCTTGGCATTGACGTCGGTCGTATTCGCGAGGAGTAGCAGAATGATGTCGGCGAGACCCCGCTCGCAGGCGCAGTAGAGCACACTCTGTCCGTTCTATCCCATATTACATCAATTTGATCGCTGCGACAGATATGACAAAAGAAGCAGTGGGAGTACTACCACGAGGACGTTGGCGTTGGCCCTTTCGGTCAAAAGAAGCGCCGCCACTTTGGTATGCTCATACATCATCGCTGCGAAGAGAGGTGTCTCGCCCGCCTACGCGACACATCGTTAGCGGTGCGCCGGTGACGTCGATAGCACCTTGTTGCGCTCGTTGATTCGCGCGTTGTGCTGAAGAAGAAGCGTCGCCATGGCCATGTCGCCGAGCATCGCCGTGTAGTGCAACGGCCGATCGAGCTCCTATGATGACAACGACGAAGCTGCGTTTTCCGTTCGCTTTCTCAGCGTAAAGTACGTCGTCGGCCGCTTCGAGGTCGGCGCCAGCGCACACGAGCGCGAAAACGTTTGCCGGAAACTTGCTCAACAACGCATAGTGCAACGGCGTGCGTTGTTTCTACACCAAATTGTATGAGACCATGGCACGGAGCCCGGCGCTATCGTACGATATCGCGCGGATTGAGGTGGACGCTGGGGACGCGGAGGAGCTTTTGAAGCACCGCGACCGAGCTGTGTCGAGCTGCTTCGTGTAGTGGCGTCAAGCCGTTCTAACCGCACGTCTCGATGGAACGGGATGACGAGGAGGATGACGCGTGTACCGTCGTCGCCAGGTTGACGTTCGCATGGGATGCCAGCAGCACATCCACCATCTCACAGTGGCCACGGGACACGGCAAACGAGAGTGCCGTCTCGCGCGACTGAAGCAATATGTAGTTAGCATCCAAAGCGATCACGGTGTCGCACCTCATATGAGCTATCGGGGTGGACGCCACTTGCGAGGAAGGCGCGAACCGCGTCGACGTCACCGAGGTGCGCGGCATGTAGGAACTGTGCCTCCTTCTACACAAGGAGCGATCAAGGTTTACCACCAATGTCGTTGAAGAGAGACGTACGCTAAGATGTTCTTCGGTCTGCGTAGTGCGCTATGGACTATACTGTGACGCCCCAAATAGTGTAGAAACGCATACCGATGGGATGATTGGCGGCTCGTTGCGGCTCGTCATCGCCTCGGACACTTCGCGCTGTGGCACAACGATGGGCTCGATCGCTTGGAGGCCCGCCTAGTTGCCAGTGGTGCGATGACGCGATTGCCATTGATGAAAGATGCACCGCTCGGGCTTTCTCAAAGATCGGCATCGATGCAACGAGGTTTCGTTGTCTACAGAGCACATGACAAGTTATACATTGCAAAACATTCGAGGCCGTACGACTGCAACTTGGGCAGGAAGATGTCGACGAGCTCGGCCGCCGTCGGACGGCGCGTTGGATCGATCGCCGTGCATTTCACTGCGAGGGCTTGGGCCCACTCGGTACTCGCATCGGTAGGGTTCGGGTACAGCGTCTGGAGGAGGATCCCGAACGAGTAAATGTCGGCGGGCGTGCCGTAGCGGCTTCCAGACGTGAGGACTTCGGGCGCTCGCCACTTGCTCGTGCCAGCACCCGTCGTCATGTTCGTTGACTCCTCCTTGGCGATGCCCACGTCGCCCACTTTGATGTAGTACTTGGAAGAGAGGAGGATGTTGTCGGTCTTGATGTCGCGATGGACGACGTTCTTGACATGGAGGTCGTTCAAAGCGTTGGCGACGACCCAGAGAATCTCAATGGGCGTGTAGGTGGCAAGCGCTTCCTCGTCTCTCGCCAGCTTCTCGAGGTGCGACGTGAGGTTGCCGCCGTCCATGTACTCGAAAAAGAGCTGCGGCGCGTCCGACTTGGCGCCGGCCGTCGCAATCAGCCGCACAAGGTACGGCGACGGATTGCTATTCACGTAAAGCGTGATGCGAGCTCAAGTCCCAGCAGGTGTCTTACTTTTCAAGGATTTCAATCTCCTCTTGGAGGGTTTTGGCAGCCTCGCGACCCGAGTTCACGACTGTCTTGACCGCCACGTCGTTGCCAAAGAGTTGATCTTTAAAGACGATGCCGCAGCCGCCGCGGCCGAGCATTTGCAGCTTTGCCGTCGGACGTGCTGGCACCTACTTCATATGGGCAACGGGCAACGCATGTCGTTATCGTACGTGGATAGCAGTGGGAGCGTGCGTGGCGTGCAACTCACGAACGAGCGACTGATGTCCCAACTTGATCGCAATTGCTACCGGGGATTCACCAAACTACAAGAAACGAGCGTTTGATTCGGTGTTTCGATGGGTTTCCAGACCTCGTTGCAGCCGTAGAGCTCCACCAACGGGCACTTTAGGAGCTCCGACACAAGCGCGTCGTGCCGACCGAGGAGTGCCAGATGGAGCAACGTATTATCATGCTAGTATAGCTGATAGATCAGCGGGGGGTGCTGATGTACCTCGTCCGTCTCGTTGACGCTGAGACCTTCGGCAAGCAGCGCTTGGACGGTGTCGACGTCACCGTGGCGGGCTGCATGCAATAGCTCCATTTTCTGCGTCGTAAACTCGAGTTAGCTGGTCATGGCCGCTGCCGTGATGGAGAGTACCCTGACGCGCACTTCGTAGAGGACAGAGAGAACCTCTGCATGTCCCTTGTTTTGAGCAAACGTGACGGCGGTCTTTCCATCCTGCATGTACAATAAGTGCTGCGATAATTGGCCTCCAAACGCACAAAGGTCCGCGCGTCGAGCTTGGCTCTCGCATACGCTAGCTGGCGCACAATGTGTGCGAGGCCACGGTGAGCAGCTGTGTGCAGTGCTGTGATGCCCAACTATTCAATCTCCATTGGAGTCGAGTAGTAAAATCGTGTTGGGTACCGAGGTCGTCGCGTTCACGTCCGCTCCTGCGTGGAGCAGGAAGGCTACAATCTCCGAGTGGTCAAACTTCACTGCAGCGTGCAGGCACGGGGTCTACACCATCGGTCAGCTTTGTCTCGGTTGAACATAGTATAATCGAACCGCTGCAGGGTGGCGGATGTGGGCGCCGGCGTCGAGCAAGGCTTTGATCGCGTCGATTCGTCCCGTCGCGCTGGCGACAAACAACGGCGACGTGCCCGACTGTCAATAGTATCCATGAGCCAACGTATCAAGACGCGCTCGTGTACCGGTGACGTCGCGTTTGGATCCGCCTTATTGCGCACAAGAAAATGGATCATGTCGGTGTGACCTTGCTTGGCGGCATGGAACACGACTCCATTTCCATCCTATCGTGTACTCTGCTCAACCGCGCCATCGCCGGCGACGATGTACCTTGTCGACACTTGAAACGGTGGCGCCGGCTGCAAGCAGTCGCGAGGCAATGGACACATATCCTCGGTTTGCGGCGAGCAAGAGGGGCGATACTTTGGTCTACATCCATTCTGTCCGCATCGCTGTGTGCTCGACACGTACCACTTGATTGTTTACGTGCACATTTGCACCCGCGGCAATGAGCTCCTTGACAACGTCTTCGTGGCCACCGCTGACCGCATAGCCGAGTGCCGTGTCAGTCTACGAACCCAGTGAAGCGGTCGTTGCACGCAGAATGTACCAGGTTGGGATGGTTGACGTCGGCATCGTGGTCGAGAAGCAGACGCACGAGCTCGACAAGGCCACAATGCGCAGCCCCCATGAGCGGTGTCTGCCCACTCTAATGGCCAACATGAGCCAACTACGAGGTACAAGAAGCGAACCCGTTGTTGCAAGTTGACCGAGGCACCCGCCTTGAGGAGCAGTGCAGCAATGTCGACGTGCCCTTCCGCCGCCGCGATACAGAGCACTGGGCTACCGACCTAAATTGCATTGTGGTATGATTGATCGTTGGGGCGAGGCTACAGGGTTGCAGCTGTCGGGATCGGCGCCATCTAGGAGGAGCGCGTCGACGGTCGCCGTGTCGCCACGAGTCACTGCGTCGACAAGACTCATGTTCTACAAGGTGAAGACGAGTGAGATGGCGGTGCATCGTCGCGCAAGCTGCACCTTGCGCTTGCTGGGCAAAAAATCGCAATGGCAAGTGACGATCGCAATCCGGACGGACGACGTGACACGGAAAATGACAAGAAGCGTTGTAAATTGCATTCGAGAGACAAAAAGGGGTTTAAATCCTGGGTTCCTTCTACAGCGTTTGTTTTCTACCACATCTTCGTCGCGCGGGAGGAGGAACGTGATGTTGACATTACCGCCGCCGAGTGGGATGGCGGGCGGGTTAGAAAAACCACTTGCTGCCGAGCATGATATTCCTAAACTGGGAGCTGTGGGGCTCCGTTCGTTTGCGCTAGCTCCCTGCCCGATTGGTTGAAAATCGAGTTTGAAAGCTACGCTAGGAAACGTCCCCTTTCCGATCGATGCGAGACCGGAAGGGACGCAACCACCGACCGCACTCTCTACCGTGAGCAGCTACACTTCAAATTTTATTGAACGTTTGTGTTTCCAAGCCCACCAGGCGTAGAACGCCGATTCCCAGAATGGTTCGTTGATGCCTGCGTTTGTTCAGTTTTGCACCCGCTTTTGTCATTTTCTGTCACGTTTCCGACCAAGCATGCACTTCAAAGTTGCTGGAAATGATAGGACGTGTCTACCGCGACGCAACCTACGGGGGGTCGAAGTTCAAGATCTTATGTAGTGGACGGCGATGGCGACCAGCACGGGCCTCCTAAACAATAGCGTCAAATAAATTCAAGTGACATCAACTCGACCGCTTTCAAACGACAGGTACAACAAGAACCTGCCCGACGCCACGGTGTCAGATCAATGACGGATGAGTGGCCCCCGACTCTAAACGTTTTCATAGACTTGTACGTCATGACATGAGCTTTCGCCATACAATCCACTCGTGTCGGATTCATATATGCGTAAATGACATTATGCTAAGCTGTTGTGCTGCTCGCACGACCTGAAGGGAGCGCGGCCCATAGTATAATCGATGAAGTATTGGAGCAGCTCGACGAGGTCTGCTGCAATCGGCCGCAGGAGCGGGTCGGCGTCCGCGCAAAGGCCGACGACGCATTAGCATAACAAGCGCAAGCGCGGATTGTCCGGCATTACGATCCTCGCCATACAAATAGCAAGGCCATGCTAATAGTCAGGGGGCTCTATCTCGCCAAGCGGGCAGTAGTACAAAATTCGACCGACGCCCGCAGCGCCACGCAAGTCCATCTCGGCTCCATGATCCATCCACGTGCCCGATCGATGCCCAAGCGATGGGCGACGAGGCCGACGTTGGCGCCGCGTATTTGGTCGGCGCCGTACTACATCGTGTGCTTTCCAAAACCTTTTGTCAAAAGGTGGCATCATAGTGGCTTATCTCTGGTAGACGACAACGGCCAAGCGACGGACGTCCGCACCACGATCGCCACAAGTTCATCTGCATGCGAGACAGGTAGAATGTGTGATTTTGTGCACAAGATAACGACTTGACGCGCAAGGTCACGCTCTGGTGACCGAGCTTGCCCATGTGCGCGACGAGCTCCTCGCCGGCCAAGATAGCTTGCACCGCGACCAAGTCGGTGTGGCCCACAACGAGACGCACGAGGGAGTGGCGACAATCGCGGCGATGCAAGAGATCCCGATTGAAGAGATGGTGGACACCGACACGAGCGTTTTTGGGGTCTGAGACGCGGCTGTACGCATGGCAACGTCGTCTCTTCTACCTGCGCCCTAGGCGGAAAAGACTAAAAGCACTGATTCTTTATTTTACTTTATTCTTAAGTTTTGGCTGTCTCGGAAATGTGTCGTTGGACCCGAACCGTAGGCGACGCGTTGCGTCACTTGCTAGCGAATACGCCTAGTGCGCAGTACAATGTACAATGTACAAAATAACAATAATTGGATTGGAGTAGGTAACCACCAACTACGCCTTGATGTAGCCCACGTCCTTTTCAAACTCGTGTGGCTCGTCCCCCGCGACAAACGACTGACGCGTCTCGTTCGTCTCGAGCGCGAGCTTGGCCTTGAACTCGTTGTCAATGTTGGACATGTCGCCGTCGTTGTTGTCAAACATGCAAAACCACGTGAGGAGAAGCGTCAACAAGCAAATGCCTGCAAACGTGTACCACGTGCCAACGTAGCCAAAGCCGGGCGCCTTCACCCAGTGCGCAAAGCCGTACGAGCCAATGGCCGCGCCCGCCTTGCCCATGGCGGCCGAGAAGCCGTGGCACGAGCTCTTGATGGCCGTCGGGTACATCTCCGTGGGCATGACGAACGTCGACATGTTGGGGCCAAAGTTGGAGAAGAAGAGCGTGAGGCCAAAGAGGATGATGAAGAGCGCGCTCTGACCCTTGATCGAGTCCCACCAGATCGCCAACACGAAAAAGATGATGGTCATCCACGTAAGACCCTGGAGCATGATGAGCTTGCGACCCATCTTGTTGATGAAAAAGCACGCAACGTAGTAACCCGGCAGCGCCACGGCCGAGATCAAAACGTTCTGGAGCGCGATCGTCTGGAGCGTCGAGTTGGCGCCAATCACCGACAGAATCGAGGCCGAAAAGAGGTTCTGGGCGTAAAACACAATGTCGAAGAGGAACCACGTGCCGGCCGTG